ACTAATCGTAGTATGTAGCGGTGGGTGCGGGGGGTTCCGGGGGGATGCCAAAAGATGACCCCGTGGTCTTCCTGTCCCGCCAAGTATATGTATTGTAGGTAGCGGCGATGGGCGTTTGAGTGTCGGGGAGGCTGCCGAAAGGTGACTCCGCGGCCTCTTCACCCGCGCCAAGTTCATGTTGTTTTTGTTTAATTTTGTTGTCTTTCGTTCATAGGTGGGAGTAACAACCCTCCCACCTTTATTGTGGTCGGCCATTGTGCCTCATTGTCGGCCCCTTAGAGGGCTGGGCCTGTGGCCCTTATTTGGTTTCTGTCGTGGATCGTGTTATGTCTGTCCACGTAGTTGGTGACGTCCTGTGACGTCTTAAATGTGGGGTGGGCGGCTGCGGCCGTCTCACTAACCGGGTTCGGCAGGGAGAAGGGTGGGGGCCCTGATCCCATGGCACGTCGACCCAGGGAAGTCCGGGGGGAGCTAGTAGCCCGGCTCCCTCCGATGCCCTTTCGGGGCAAGGGAATGTCCTCTCCGGGGGGATACCTGTAGTATCCTCTCGGGGGATGTGTCCTACCTTAAGGACGCCGGTCGGGTGTCCACCGTGAAGTAATGCTTACGCGGTTCCGCGGTGGACAATACCCATACGACCAGGGGCTTCAGTCAGGTTTTAGGTCGGTCCCCCGCCCGATAGTCCCTCGGGATACTACGGGCGGGAATCCACCACAAAGCCTCCTGATCCTCCCTCAGGGGTCAGAACGGCGAAGTTTGGTTTAGACAAATTTCCTGACTATAAAAAAAAAAAAGAAAGAAAAAGAAGGATTAGAATTATCCCTCAGGGGCACTGCGGACTCATCCCTGCAGTGTACGGGTGTCGCAATCCCGAGGTACCCGAGCTGGAGTGTGTGCGAAGGATGAATGAGGTGCGATGGGCGTGCAGGCCCTAAAAAGGACTTGTCCACTGCACTAGGTGAAGGAAAACACTGACATAACACCCGGGGGGGAGGCCCCGTTAGCCAGGCAAGGCAATCTCCTAAGGGGAAGGAAAACCCCCGACAGAAAAAACCAATTTCTTCTTTCAGATATGAGCGGTTCCAAGAAGAAAGTGAACGTCCCGGGTTCGGGTACCGGGAACCGGCGTGGGGGGGGTGTAGGCCTGGCTCCCCCTTCGTCGTCATCAGACGACAGGTCGTCCGCAGATTTGCCGGCTGGGTCCGCGGATAGGAATGCGACAGCGCCGTTGATTGAAGTAGACGACCGGCTGAGAGTGATGCAGGCCAGGTTCGAGAGTCGTGTCATCGGGGCTGATCCTCGTGACCTGGTGCTTGAGATGATGGCTCTTATTGGCTCGAAGGAGGCTCGTTCCTTCCGTGGAAGAGAGCCATATGAGAGGATGTTGGCTTTCTGCCGATTATTTCTGGGGTGCTGCGCCACAAACTCCACCCAGTGGTGTGCTGTACATAAGTGTATCCTGGTCAACCTGGCGAACGAAAAAGTTTTACCTCGATCGGGGATCGGATGGTTGTCTCAACAGGATGAGAGGGAATGGCTGGCGGAGTTCGATCTCCGGACTCATGGCGAGAAAAGGTGGATGACCCGGGGTGGTAAGCCTCGGTTCCCTGATTGCGTGGGGTTGGATGACCCCTCGGCCGCTCTGGAGACCATAGAGGAGGAGCGCCTTGAGGACTCCGGTTCACGGGATCCTGGCGTGCGGATGGAGGAGGTCCGGGGAGACTCGCCGATGGGCGGGATCCCTGATGTGAGCATGGGTGAAGATGCGTTGGGCGCTGCCTCTGCCTCCCCTGGGGGTTTGGATGGCGCGCTTGACGTGTCGGAGCCCGAGACTCACCTTAGCCCGGTAGAGGTTCTCGACCGGGAGCAGATCCTGGCGAACAACTGCCGGGCTTATGCGGAGGAAGTCGAAAGACTTGAAGCTCGTGTTGCCTCACTTGAGGCTGACAATAGGAAACTCCACGACGATCTGGAGTCGATGAGGAGATTGGCTGCTCCCCTTCCTCCCTCTTCTGGGGAGAAGGAAGCGCCCCCTCGGAAGAGGAAGTCGCGACAGAAGCGGGATAGAGGGGCGGATTCCGAACCGGAAATTTCCGGTAAGGGGACTGCCTCTGCGGTGCGGAGGACTCTTTTTGAGTCCTCCTCTGATGCGGTTTCGGGGGGGGACCCACACCAGCAGCTAATAGCGCGGGTGGGTCTCCTCATCGAGGAGCGTATTTCCGGGGCGCTTGGGGATCTGAGGCGGACCGTAGAGTCCCTCAGGTTCTCGCTGGAGTTTCGGGGGAGTGGGGCAGTTCTGCCTGCCTCCACTCCTCCTACTAACAAGGTTTCCCCTGCTCTCCCCATGCGTAAGCGGGGGAGACGGGGTCAGGGTGGTCGTGGGGCGGTCGGCTCTCCTGGGGCTGGGTCGCTTGCCCTGTCGGCGGCTACTATGGTTGCTGGCGGGCCGGGTGGCTTGGGTCCTGGGGGAGTTCGGGCGTCGGGCCCTGCGGCTGGTCCGGTGCTGGGCGCGAGGCGGGGCCGAGTTGCGCGGGCTGCACGTGCTCCGGGTGCGTCAGCGGTGCAGCTCCTTTCGATGGGTGGTAGGACATATTCTGATGTTCTGCGGGAGGCAAGAGCGGCCATCAACCCTGAGGAGCTGGGTATTGGTCCAATGACCATGCGTTTTGGTGTGACCGGGGGTCTGCTTTTGCAGGTCCCTGGAAAAGGCACGGCAGATAAGGCGGACTTGCTCGCGGGTAAGCTGCGGGAGGTCTTCGCGGGTAGAGATGTGGTGGTCTCCCGCCCCCAGAAAACCATGGAGCTTAGGCTTCGTGGTACTATGGGGGAGGAGACCGCCTCGCGCGAGGAGATTTTGGAGGCGCTGGGGTCTCTGGGGGAATGCAGCGCGGGGGATATCCGGATCGGGTCGATTCGGTCCCTGCCGCGGTCCCCCTTGAGCACCCTTTGGGTGCGTTGCCCGTTGGCTGTTGGCCGATAGGCCTTGTCGACGGGTAAACTCCGAGTAGGTTGGAACACCCTGGAGGTCAAGGTACTTCGTGCCCGGCCTCTGAGGTGTTTCAGGTGCCTCAAGTTGGGGCATGCGCGGGTTAATTGTGCGTCTGACGTGGATCGCTCGCGGTGCTGTTACCGCTGTGGTGTCGAGGGACACCAAGCGGCGGGGTGCGTCGCCACTCCCCGTTGTCCGGCTTGCTCGGACGGTGGGGAGTCGGCTCGACATGTCTTGGGGGGTCGGGGATGCGTTCCGCTTCCCCCTCCTCCCGGGCAACAGACAACCGGGGCGAAAGATAGGCGCCGGGCTCCGGGCCGTCCTGATGGGGGACGGCCTTTGGAGATCGAGGCTGCCTCAGCAGCTAAGTAGCGTTTCTTAAATGTTGTAGTTGTTATGTCTTTACTAGGTAGCGGCGATGGGTTTGGAGTGCCGGGGAGGTTGCTGAAAGGTGACTCCGCGGCCTCCTTGCCCGCGCCAGGTGTTTTGTCTTAGTTTTTCTCGTCTTTCGTCCATAGGTAGTGTGAACATCATGCACCACCTTTATATGTCTTTCGGCCACTGTGCTTTCGCTGTTGGCCCCTAGAGGGCTGGGCCTGTGGCCCTTATTTGGTTTCTTTGTGGACGTGTACATGTTTGTATATATGTTTGTCCATATAGTTGGTGACGTCCCGTGACGTCAACTTCATGTGGGGTGGGTAACTGCGGTCACCTCGCCAACCAGGTCAACAGGGGGAGGAGTGGGGGCTCCAATCCCATTGCACGTTGACCTCGGGTATGGCCGGGGGGTGAGCTGATAGCCCGGCTCCCCCCTATTTACCCTCTCGGGGTGAGGGTATTGGACGGGTCAACTCCTCAAGTTGCCCGGGGATGCGTCCTTAACAGGACCAGGTCATGGGTGTCCACCGTGAAGTAATGCGTTTGCGGTTCCGCGGTGGACAATACCCGTCAAAGACCAGGGGCTATAGTCAGGTTTTAGGCTGGTACCCCGTCCGCTAGTCCTTCGGGATACTACGGACGGGAATCCGCCACGAAGCCTCCTGGCCCTCCCTCAAGGGTCAGGACGCAAAGTTTGGTTTAGGCAAATTTCCTGACTTAAAAAAAAAAAAAGAAAAAGAAGGAGGCGCGGCAACGACAAGGAGGTGGCAGACGCACTAGAGAGGTATCGTGAAGCCAAGGTATCTCTGTGCGTCGCCATCAAAAGGTCCAGGATCAGAGCATGGGGCGAGCAATTGAACGCCCTTAATGCAAACCCCTGAGGGCGCCCGTACAAGCTTGTGATGAACAAGCTAAAGCCATGGGCGCCCCCCTCGCGACGGAAACCCTGGATCTCCAGCTCCTGGAGCAAACAATAGACAAATTGTTCCCCGCAACACGGGCTCCTCCGATAATTAGGGAGCCTGTTGCGTAAAGCCGAGAGCTGGAGATCACAGACAGGGAAATGGCCAGAGTATTCAAGAGACTCAGGGCCGGGTGTACAAAGGCCCCCGGCCCGGACGGAATACCTGGCCGAATATTGGGGCTGGTCGAAGGACACTTGTCTGGGTACATGCAACAGCTTTTCAATAGCTGTTTAGAGGAAAGAACTTTCCTAAAAGCGTGGGAATCAGCGAAATTAGTGCTGATTCCCAAAGGAGGAAGGCCGGAGGGCTCCTCTCCTGCATTCAGGCCGATATGTCTGCTCGACGAAGCGGGTAAACTGTTCGAGAGATGTATTGCAAACCTCGTCGAGCACCTGTCCCGGGACGGAGTAGACCTCCATAATGAGCAATATGGATTCCGCGAGGGAAAATCCACAGTGGACGCAATACTACGTGTAGAGACCCTCGCGGAGTCCCAAATGAAGGAGGGCAAGGTGATTGTTGCAGTTTCACTAGACATTGTAAACGCGTTCAACACCCTGCCCTGGGATAGAGTTGGGGACGCGATGATATTTCATCGCGTCCCTAGCTACCTCATGGGGGCTATAAAAAGCTATTTTAACATCGTCAAATAGTGTTCCGGGATAGGAATGGCAGTGAGTGCGGGAGGGAAATGTTTTGCGGGGTTCTACAAGAATTGGTTCTTGACCCTCTGTTGTGGAACCTCGCCTACGACAGAATCCTCCGGTCGGCTTTTCCCTCCGGCTGCAGTGTCGTCTGCGTAGCAGACTCCTCCGCGGAGGGCCGTTTACAACATCTAGTGAAACCGCAACAATCACCTGCTCTGCGTAACAGACGACACACTGGTTATAGCCAGGGGGATTAATTGAAGAGGCAGTGGGAACTGCCAATCAAGCAGTGGCATGCGTCGTGCGCGCAATTAGCGACATGAGTCTGAGAGTGGCGCCTCAAAAGACAGAGGCGCTATTCATACATGATGGTACACATGGAGTGCCACCGAGGGCTCATGTCGCTGTGAACGACGTTCCCGTCCCCGTCGGCAAAACCCTCAAATATCTGGGGCTCACGCTGGACGGGTCTTGGAATTTTACCGAACACTTTGACCGTCTGGTCAACAAGATGGACGGGGTAGTAGGGGCACTATGTCGACTGCTACCAAATTTGGGAAGACCAGACGGTCGGGTCCGCCGACTGTACATGGGCATCGTAAACTCGATTACCCTGTACGGGGTACCGATGTGGGCGGATGTGGCGATGGCCTCCAAACTAATCTGTGGCAAGTTTAGACGCGTCCAGAGAAGGATGGCCATTCGCTGCATCCGTGGGTACAGAACAGTGTCCCACGCGGCGGCGATAACCCTCCACATGATGGAGAGGTGAAAAGATTACTTCTCCAATGTGCCCCCAACGATATCGGGGGCACGTGTCATCGGGGCCGTGAGTCCGATACCAGAAGAATGGGTGGATCGGACCCACGGACTAACGTCGTTCAGCTCTACACAGGTGATCACAGATCACGGCTGTTTGCAGAAGTACCTGCGTAGAATAGGAAGGGCGCGCACGGCGCAGTGTTTCCATTGCCAGGATGATGAGGACACGGCGCAGTACACCCTCGAACCTTGTGCAGCATTCCTCAAAAACAAAATCAGGGAAGACTTGTCGCTCCCCAGCGTCATGAAAAAGATGCTGGAGAGCGAAGAGGGGTGGAACTCCGTCATTTCCTTCTACAACAAGGTTATGAGCCTGAAGGAGGTGGCGAAGAGAGAGTGAGAGAGAGGATAGGGCGCAAGGTGACGGGAACAGCGGAGGGGTGATGAATGTAAGATCACCCCCCATTAGAAACATTAAAAGGAGGAGGCAACCGCTTCGCACGTAAATCCCCCTGCTAAATGGGGAGCAAACATGATGAGAGAAATGGGGGAGGATCTCAAGCTTTCCTTTTTCCCCCTTGAAATGGGCCACGAGGAGGAGTTAACGCAATTGCGCAGAATAGTTGGTTGGAGAATGGACGGGGCTGGGGTCGCCTGGTCTCGGCCGCACGGTGACAGCCCTGCGACCGGGGACTGGGCGCCCCTCGACCCCGCCCCTGCCGAGGTTTCCCTCCAGGGGGAGGTCTCGGTGTAGCCCCCGGGTCAATGGCCAAATCCCGTAAAAGGAGGGAGTCCTGACCCGGGGGCACGGGGGGCCACAAGGGCTCACACCCCATTGTACGTGATCTCCCAGGGATTGGACGCGGAAGTTGGCGGTCCTCTCACTGATGCCCAAGGGCGCCGGGGGGAGGACACCATTGCCTGCGAAGTGGGCTCTTCCCCTTCTGGGAAGGGTCGTCTGGTGTAGAGCCTCAGGGGCTGGTCGCCAAATCCCCGTCCCTCTTGGGAGCACCACTCCAGAGACGGGGGGTGGCGGTTCGAGCGGAAACACTCGAGCCGTGACCCCGCCCCCTAAACTCTTTGGGAGGGCGTGGCGTAGGGGTGGTGCCCCCTTGCGCCACAACCGGGAAGGTCCGCACGACTTATACGCGAGGGAGAGTATCTTCCTTTCGGGGAAGACGCTCTCCTGGGACAGGAAAGGCCGGGGGATGGCAAGAAGTAATGCTTCAGCAGTTCCTTGCCATCCTCCATAGAGCTCGCGAAGGCACCCGCAGCGGTTTTAGTGAGGTAGGGCTTGGACCCTCTGATCGAACCATTCGTGGCTTGGTCAAGGGAGACAAACAGTCCCACATAACCCGCATCTCTACCCGGGGGTGTGTGGTACTCATTAGAGTTTCCGCTGCGTCACAAAAAAAATGTCCCATACCATGGCGCGTGCTCATAAAATCTGAGAGACGCCAAGCCTTATGGTTGACTCAAAATCATCGTGGATTGCAATGGGAAAATAGAAACATTCCATATAGCATGGCTCAGCGTTTGATTACAACAGCTGTCGCCGGAGTCATGCAAGAAGAAGAGTAATCCTCTTTCGTGTACGTCAAAGGACATGAAAAGCGAGAATGGCTAGCCGATATATTGGGCGATGCGAAAAGCGGTTTTATTATTGAGACCTTGGATAAAAACTATGAAGATGTACCTGCTTTAATAAATAAAATAATCTACGTTGTCTAGATATCAATAGTCTACGTTGTGAAAAACATGTGAAAAATTGTACTCTACAAAATGTCATCAATGCATAAGATTTCCGGATGGATGCCGCGTGGTTTAACAGCGTAATGCCGACGTTTCGCAAACGTTGCAGATTGCATCTTCAGGGCTTAGAACTTCGATATTGAGCTTTCTTGGGTTGTAATCCTTATATATATATTATAGGTTTTTCATCTACAAAAAAGTATTTCGTAATGACGCCGCCTAGTGGTGTGAGTGTATATTAAGGGCAGTGTGCCAAATAGGGTTTGTTTGATATCCTTTGTCGCGGTAGAGGTCGTCGGGATGTTTCAGAATTTCTAGGGCTTCACGATGTTTTCTGGCGAAATAGCTTTGCGAGAAGGCTAGTCTGGTTGCTTTGTCGTATTGTACCGAGTGTCCCGTCTCCATCCAATGTTCTGCCAAGGCTGATTGACTAAAATGGCAGTACCTGGCACTCCGTTGGTGTTCCTTAATTCGTGTACTGATCTTTCTCCCAGTTTCTCCTATGTACACTTTTCCGCAGGAGCAAGGAATTCTGTATACACCTGGTGTTTCTAAGTATGGTCTCCGGTCCTTGGGATTAGAAAGCAGTTGCGCAATCTTATTTTAAGGTTTAGAAATTACTTTGATATTGTGTTTACCCAGGATCCTGCTAATGCGTTCTGTTGTACCCTGAAGATACGGAAGGATCGTCCATTTTTTATCTTCTTTTTCTTCTTCTTTTTCACTTGATGCACTCATATTTGTAGAACTGGAGATTTTATTTTTCAACCTTTCAGTTGTTCGATGGATGTCTTTGATGTTGTACCCATTCTTGGTCAAGACTTGGTTGAAATGTTCTAATTCTTTATTCAGGGAGGTTGGTTCAGAAATTGTTAAGGCTCTGTATATTAATGAACTGAGGACAGAATTCTTTTGAGCCGGGTGATGATGAGAGGTGGCATGGAGGTAATGATCCGTATGTGTTGGTTTTCGATAAACCCGATGGCCTAAGGTGCCGTCTTCGTTCTTTTTAACTAACACGTCTAAAAAGGGGAGCTGATTATTCTGTTCTATTTCCATTGTAAACTGAATACCGCGGTGCTGAAAATTTAGAAAGTCGAGAAATTGATTTAATATACACTCACACCATTAGGCGGCGTCATTACGGAATACTTTTCCGTAGATGAAAAATCTCCCATAATACATATTGTATATAAGAATTACAACCCAAGAAAGCTCAATATCGGAGCTCTCAGCCCTGAAGATGCAAACTGCAACGTTTGCGAAACGTCGGCATTACGCTGTTAAACCACGCGGCATCCATCTGGAAACCTTTTGCATTGATGATTCTAATGGCCGCGAAAGTCTCAAAACTAGGACTTTACAAAATGTATTTAAACTGTACAATTGGTGATTGAAAAATCACGATAATTCACCTTTTTGAATAAATTAATGTTAAAATAATATTCTCTTTTTATCGGCTCTCAATATAAATAATATAAGTATGCTGTCTTCTAAGCTGGGCAATAGAGCCAAGGAAACGAACTTTGGGATCTCAAATTGAGATACAGTTTCGTTTAATTAGTTTTTCGTTTCGTTTCCTTGGCTCTATTGCCCAGCTTAAAAGACAGCATACTTATATTATTTATATTGAGAGCCGATAAAAATATTTATTTCTGAGTTTATTCACGCCTTGGGCTAATCACGGCGGTATTTACTAACATCTACTAAAAAGGCAAATGAAAAATATAGGATCGAAAGGGTCTGAATAGCTTAGTTGGTAAGAGCAGTCGCCCGGAAAGTGAAAGACGCGGGTTCGATTCCCGCTTCAGCGACTTTTCGGACCTATATTTTTCTCGCTTATTTCTCCATATGTAAGTTTCGAAATTAATTTATATGTGGAACTTTGGGATCTCAAATTGAGATACAGTTTCGTTTAATTAGTTTTTCGTTTCGTTTCCTTGGCTCTATTGCCCAGCTTAGAAGACAGCATACTTATATTAATATTCTCTTTGTTTCTCTTTTTCTTCTTACGAGTAGTACATTTCCGCACGTGCACATATTACTCTCAACACTCTTATATGTTTCGATACGTGTACATATCAATTTCAGTTTGCAACATCATTTTTATAATATATTGTTTAATGTAGTTAAATGTCGTTCGAATATGGTTCGAACGTGGTTTGATTGAGGTTCGCACGTGGTTGAACGTGATTCGATTGACATTCGGACGTGGTTGAACGTGGTTCGATTGAGGTTCGGACGTGGTTGATTGACGTTCGGACGTGATTCAATAGACGTTCGATAGATGTTTGGACATGGCTCGATGCTAAAATAATATTCTCTTTATTCTTTCTCTCCTTTTCTTCTCCTACGAGTATTATATTTCCGCACGTACACATATTACTTTCAGCTCATATTACTCTTACATGTTTCGACACATGTACATATCAATTTCAGTATGCGACATCATTCTTATATGTTAATTATTGCTTAATGTAGTTGAATATGGTTCAAACGTGGTTGATCGACGTTTGGACGTGGTTTGAACGTGGTTGAACGTTGTTTGATTGACGTTCGGACGTGGTTCAGACGTGGTTGATCGACGTTCGAACGTAGTTCAAACATGGTTGATTGACGTTCAATAGACGTTCGGACGTGATTCGGACGTTGTTCGATGGATGTTCAAATGTGGTTTCGATTTTAAATATAATTCGTTTTTATCATAAGACTTGTTGTCTTCTTATCTCAAGTGCAGAGTCAGCATTCATGCTAATTCTTATGTCATGCATCCCCTACTTTTCTTAATGAGAGTCTTTTTAATCCTGCGGTGTCTACGGTTCATGTGTCATAAAAATTCTGACAGTCGCAGAATACATTTAAAAAATGGAGCGTGAAGAAGTTATTATTAGTAATGATGAGATGATGGATGTGGACGATGAGGTGATCCATGAGAACGATGAGGTGATCCATGTGGACAATAAGGTAATCCATGTGGACAATAAAGCCATGATCCTTGATGAGGAAGAACGAATGACGGATCGAGCATCGAAAAAGGGTCAGACGATGAGTTTTTGGAAGCTGGATCAGATGCAGAGATTGTCCCGTTCCAAGATTCGGATTATGATAGTAAGTGCAGCGGCATCACTCGAGATCACCGTGCGCAACACTCGACACAACGGAGATCCTCGCCATGGACGATGAAGTTCGAATATGTTCGATACATGTCTATTATCGTCCATGGCCTGGTAAAATGTTGTGTATAAGATGTTTCATGAGATCTCGAGATCTGTATACAGAAGTTGATGTCGTTCGTACTCACAGAACGGGACGATATGAACATTTGCTGGGGCGGTGGTGCAGCGATTGCAACGACCCACTGGATATTATGTTCATTAAAAATATATGTCCAGTGTGCAATTCATGTAAGTATTAAAATATTTATTAATTAATAAAATAAAATATATAATAAGGATAGAAAATCTATTGCTGAAAGAGCCAATATAGCAAATTTGTCAAGATAAGGAACTATCTCAAATCGAGATTTATAAGTTCCTCTTTCCTCCTAACAAACTCCCTAAAATTTCCTAAAATTAATATAGACGAGAAAAATATATATCGGCCCGAAAAAGTCGGCTGAATCGAACCCGAGACCTTCCGCTTGCCGGG